CACCGAGGGGATGGGGGAAACCCGGAAAGAAAGGACGTCCCTGGGGGCAGGTTTTCCCCCCAAAATGCAATCCTCTGTACGCGGGTTTGGGAAGAGCTGGGACCCGCCGTCCTGCGCTGCCTGGGGCCCTTCAGAAACTCGTCAGGCCTCGCGGGCGCGCTGCGTTTTTTCCAAATTTGCTACTACAGCAGAATGTTTCTCTTCGAGGAGTCGGCAGCAAAATTGCAATTAACCAAAGGGGAGCAGGGGTGGGATTTGTGCAAACCTCGATACGTTTTTGAACTCGGACCGGACACCGGTGCTGCTGCTGCCACAGAGCATCCTCACAGCATTCTGTAAATACCCCGGCTCCGGCACGCACGGCCGTCTCGGCTGACCCAAACCCGGGGTCACCCCCCGCCGCTGCTGGAAGCCCCGCAGGAGCCGCAGACAAGCGCTGTGCCCCAGCTCCTGGCTGCCTTGCACCCATGGCTCTGTGTTCGCCAGCCTGACCTACGCGCTTGTTTTAATTTGAGCCCGGGAAGCGGTGGCAGCTCCCTGGGGAGAAGTGGGTTCCCTCCAGCGGGAAGCGACAGCAGAGCCCGTGGGGACGGCCCTAGGCAACAACAAAAGGATTATGGTCCTATTTGAAAATTAACTCATTTCTACGACTTAATTAGGGACAAATGTCACAGCAGTACCTTGACTTGCAGGTAGTGCCCTGTGCTACAGGCCCATAAATCTCTGAAGCCTGGTGAGCCGTCAGAGGCTGTTTACTTCCCCCTCTATCAAATAAATCATTCATGACGCTGCTATTTTTGTAAGCTTTACACACAACTTTTGAAGTGACTTGACATCAGCTTGTTTAAACATCTCGCACACCTGGGGCTGGGCACAAGCTATAGGAGGAAATCTCTAAGAGGGGGAATATGCATTTTTCTCTCATTAATTTTTTTTTTTTTTTGAGAGGCTTGTGGAGAGTTCCTGAGTGCATTTGCTTAACAAATCTAAACAAACAAGATTTGGGGACAGCTTCTTCTCTCACTTACACAGGTGTAAAAGGCGGCTGTCTTGTAGCCACGCTGAGCTGAGCTGACTCACTCATACTAGTGAACAATAGTAACGAGGAGCCGTAGCGGGTGATGCTAATGTGAGCAGACCCGACTGTGAGTACACACAGGAAGCAGACAGATGAAGTAAGAAGCTGCTATTCTTATACCCTCCGTTTTCAGACTTGGGCAAGGAAGAAGGAGCGTGTGTGCAATAATGTGTGCTATGAACAGAACAGCTACTAAATTGGAAGGTCTTTTCATAGTCTCTGATATAAAAAGCCCCATTCTGCCCATGATGTATTGCCTTCGGGGGATGCTGGAGTTTCTCTTGTGCTTTCTGGGTTAAGATGTAACTCACAACGCTGGGAAAACCTGATGCTTCTAAATATCCCATTGAGTGGGCTGGGGAAAAAAAACCCACCCCAGAGCTGATTGTGTCAGTGTGAATGTGCTGTTATGGACAGAACCTGGGCCAGGAGAGCGGGAGGAGAGCTGTGAGGAGAGACGTGACTTTTCATGCCAGTACAGAGCGGCGGTGAGATCCTCCAGGGATGTTTCTTGCTGCAGGCTGGGGAGAGAGAGGAAAGGGGATGACGGTAGCTGGTTACCTTCAAAAGGGAGCAATACTGAAGCATCCTGCAAAGAGCCAATTTTTCACGTGCTGATGCTACGTCAGCAAGAAGAAGAGGAGAAGAATATGTTGGGTCTTGGTACCGATGCGGATACCTGCTTTGCTATCAGATGAGAGTGCAGTGCTAAAGTTCCCCTTGCAGCAAGAGGCATGCAAGGGGGGGCTAACAACTGCAGCCTGCTTCCCCAAATGTTTCTTTGCTGGGAGAAACTACCTGTCAGCAAACCTGTCAGCAACACTCGGCAGGCAGTCGGTCTCTGCATGCAAACCCCTCCAACTGAGTCTGCTTCAGCCTTGTCCACCTGTGCTGACACCAGCTAGGGTAGGCCAACAGACATAAACGGCAGCCCCACCGGGTCATTTCCTGCAGTGAGTCACTGAATTTTACAACTGACCCACTGAACAGGGGAAATTGTGCAAGAAATGCCAAGAAAACTATTGAGACGTGCAATTAGAAAAGAGCTCTCCTGCCCTCTAGTGCCCTTCCCCTCGCCCGGGCGGCTTCCTCCCACCCCAGCCTTTGCTCTCCTGCTTTCCTCCGGCTTGTGGGGCCGGGGCTGGGGTGATGCAGTGTCTGTCCCTGCAGAAATGCCAGGAGATAGCGGCCGTTCACCCCGCAGACACAGCTGTCCAAGTGGGTTTCAGAGGCAGGGAAAAACTGGGATTCCATAGGGAAATGCAATTTAGCCAACTACCTTCTTGCACGATGGCTTCAGACCCAGCGTTGGCCTTGATAACGTTGGTGGTCAGCGAGGTTGCAATTTGGTTAAGACACAACCAAGCTCCCTGTAAAGACCTTATTCAACGTGCACGAGGATCCCTGAGCGACAGATACACCACGGTGACCTGATGTGCCCCTGCCACCACCCACGCTCAGCCCTCAGGGTGGAAAGTTTTGCAACCGGGAAAAGGTGAAAAAAAATTAGTGCAAGCAAACTAAAGCAAAAGGGCAAGATTCTCACCTCCTGTTAATGGATGCAACTCCTCTGAGGTCTTCAGGGGTGGAAAAAATAGCAGTGAGATGCCAGTATATGGGGAAGGAGGGGAATTGTTCAGGGAAGGAGCATGATCGTGGGCGACAGGCTCTGGGTGAGAGACTCAGGGGAGCAATGCAGAAAGGGCCAGAGCTGTGACCCGAAGTAGGCAAGGACAGAGTTCCTGTATCAGTCCCCTGGAAATACATATATGTGATGTGGGCTGCATCAAACTTCATATGAGCAAAAAAGGACAAATGGAAGACCTTGATTTTGGGTACATCCCCACTTTCACCTCCCTGAGGCAGCCTCAGTGTTTTGCAGGGTTTTTTTCGGTGCACCAGCTAACAGTACCTGGCTGGTGGTCCCAGCTGCGGGATGGACCCTGGTGTGCTACGT